CAAGTCTAGCTCTGTTCCGCCCGTATTTCGGTCATGCCCGACGCCCAGAACGTTGATCTGCGTGTGTGATGCCTTCGTCTTGGGATCCTCGGCTGCAGCGAACGAAACCACAGTGGCACGTGTCGAAGACGCGCCGGCGTCGTAGATGACATGGTATTCGGGAGTGGTCGAAAAGGTCCTTGTCATAGCATAGTTAACTGCTACAGCCGTACCGTCATTGACCAATGCCAGTGTTCTGAGTCCTGCAATCTCTATCGCGTCTGTAATTGAGTCGCGTTCGAACTGGGAGAAGTACGGTGGAACGGTGAGGATGACCTCGTTTACCGGCTCGCCCGCTAAATCCTCAGCAAGTTTCTTGATATATGATAACTGCATCGCGACAAGTTCCTCCGTACTCCATTCCGTGCCATCACTTTGTTTCAGCGCAACGGTCTTGCGGTCAGTCTCAGAAATCTGAGCAGTGGATATGGAGGTGAAATAAGTGACGATATCAGAGTCGGATGGTGCGCCTTGTAGGTATTTTAGGGATGAGAATGAGTCTTGAGGGAAACGGGACGCCTGTGTCCAGTCAGACCAAGGGCAGAGTGTTGTGGGGAACAGTACTCACGATGTTCGCTGCGTCAGACCCAAATAATCTTTCGTCTTTCTTCCATGCGACTGATGATTGTATCTTCCGCTTGGAGTCCTTATTTAGTAGCACGTCGAAGGGCACACCAGGCTTCATGAGCGAGGCCTTAATCCAGTCTGACCCATAGTCAACTGCCAGTATCGATGCTAATGAACTCTCGAAAATAGCAGCAAAGAGAAAGAAGAACGAAACCGCCCTTCTAAGCGAAAGACAAGGCATGACGAGGAGGACCGAATATCAGAAGCAAATACAGGCAAAGAGCATCGAGCAACTGAGGACTATGAATTTTGTTTCTCGAACTGACAGTAAGACTACCAGAGGTTCCACGTAATTGGTAGACTGAGCCGGCAAGTGCCGAGATACCCCCGCCTATATGTGCTGGTGAGTTGAGCGCTAACTTTGCAAATGAGTCATACTACGATACAAGATTTAGGCTCGCTCCTCCCCCACTGAATTTTGGCGCCATACGATGGAAGGGAACTTCCATGAGCGCTCTTACTGTGATGTAAGATCTCTCAGACAATTATTCTCGATACTAGGTGCTTTTTCGACTCGTCTTCCTCCACGATTGATGAATTGCCGGGATCTTGGGGACCGGGATTCATCTCTGATCACAAACGAGCAGAAATATCCGCTGTCGTACCCCGCTGTCTCGACGATTGAGCTCGCTGCGTGCCATTGTCCTACATGCCTAATCTAGCCACCTATCCAGTCATGAATCATCATCGGCGTCCATGCGAGCACGTCACTAAGCCCTTACTTGCCAGGCGGCAACGTCTTTCGAATCCGCGAAATGACCCACATCTGCATTGCACCATCTTAGGCTATCTTTGGCGCACGGAAACACTACCAGTGATAGTCAGATGTTTCTGGATCTGTATTCAAACGTTTGAACTTTGTTCTTACCCACACGTTAGGAGCGGACCCCGAGGCAACAGATTGGGAAATTTAAGTAGAACTCGAGATTAGGTATAGTCCTAAAATCTGAATTTTTTTCTTGCAACAGGCTGCGTGTAGTGACAGCAGGATGCTACACACGAAGCCGTCAGATCATTTCAAGCAGTCAATAAGGGAGGACGCACGAAGTTGATCATACGCCAATATGCATGAACACGATGTGCTGATCCAAAGGCATGTCCTTGTCACAAGCCAACGACTGGACTGCTCGATGCAGCGATCGGGCAGTTCTTTTCGAGTTCATCGTGCCATTCCCACAAAAAATCTTGTAGAACACCTCGACTAAGCGCTCCACAGTTGTATCGTTGACTTTCCACAATGTCCCAACTACACTCGTCACCCCAGCAAACTGTAAGCCAGCTGCCAGGTGTACCACTTCGTCAGGGGTATATGGGGTACCAACTGCGCTTTCGCAGGCAGATGCAAATTCATGCCGAGACAGATCCATTTGTATGATATCGAGGAGTGAAAGCGGTTGATCGCGCATGAAAAACGCCGACTTGAAGGGTTCATCATGTTTTTGTGTCCCGTGACATGCAAAAGAGACTATGCGGCCATAGCGAACTGCAGGATTCAGCTTGCAGCACCTTCTCGACTTCGACATGTTGGAAAGCTGTGCCAGGGAGCGTCCACAGCCACATCCTCAACGTGGCGCAATTTGTACATACTCTGTACATCTCTAAGTACCAGGACCTTATCGATTGTGAGGCGAAGTTGTTGAACAAGTCACTTTCTGTCATGGGCCGATGCATGTGCATGATGAGTCGTACCTTGTCGCACTCAACGGGTGACGTACTAGCTCCAAGGTGAGGTGGGACTGATATTTGTGCACCTAGGCGCTATAGTGCTCGACCTTTTTCAGATTCATGTGACAATTGATGGATGGGTGATTTCTCAGTTCGGGATTTGAAGCCAAGCAGCTAGGGTGGTATTCGTCGGCGTATCTACTACATAAAAGTAAGCAGCGGCGAAGCGAGCACGGTTGTCCAAGTTCCACTGGACCGGCAAGAGCCGAAATACCCGCCATTTGGGTACGAGTCCCGTTTCAGTTGGATCCCAAGAAAAAACACGAACTTTCAAATTTCAGGATTGAATATTGAGCGCTGGGCCCTAGCGACGACGACGAAACATGTTGAACACGGGGCTAATTCAAAAGCTCTTAAAATGTCTATGGCGAGTGTTGGCGGCGCTCGCACAGTCATCTGCCCAGCGACTGCGCGTTCTCGTATTTTGCTTGCGGCGCTGTGTCGCCAAGGTTCACGCTTTACCTGGACACAGTACTGACTCAAAGTCTTCCACTGCAGATCCATGCTGTGCCGCTGGGGCTTCCAATGCACGATGTCCGCAGGCTACCTTGCCATTGCCGCTTCACCACCAAATAACTTCAACTAATACGGCAAGCGGCACTCAAGATGTGTTGTCGTCTTCGATACTTCCGTATGCCATGCCTGCTCCATACGTTCCCAAGCAAATTGTTCCGTCTCATACGTCTTCGCCACCAGGAGTCGGTAATGCTATTCCTTCCAATACTTCCAGTATCACTCCCCCTTTTGTACCATTCGCTGCGAATGATGTTTTGCGATACGAAAATCGTCCTCTTGTGTATGTGCAGCTCCCTCATAATAGTAGATGGTCTTGAGGAATCATTCCAGAGATAAAACTCATGAGCGCGATCGCATTCCAGCACTCACGAGGCGCTTCCCAAACGAGTGAGTGTATTAGCCAGGCAATATTTGAATGGGATGACAAACCATGCAGACCATGCAGATCATGTCCATGGTTGAACAGTGATTGGCGGTCTTGTATACATCCCGAAGGCGCACTGTATTTATACAATATGAGTCGAGTAAGCATCCAATCATGAGGGAAATACAGGTATTTCATGGTCCATTGAACATATTGTGTTCCCAGAAAACGTTCACTGAAGCCATCACGGACGAAACTACGTTCGACTTACTTGGCGGATGCGTGGATGGGCTATACGACATGGCACGCGCGAAATTGGCGAGCCTCGAAGCCGATGACATTGAGCTCGTCGTGCAATTATGGCCGATTGAAGGCCAAATGACCTGTCATTACTACTTCGTCGACCACGCAGCTAGAATTCTCTTTTGGCTGCACGATAGCCCTGAAGCAACAACGAAAATTTTCAGCGGGCTTCGGGGCGTCGATAATCTGAGCCATATCCGTGCGTTATGTTGAACTTTGCTCAACCTAATATGAACTTGGCAAACAGGATTTGCCTTGGAGTCCGAGTACTGGTTTGTCACTTGCAATTATGTAAGTTTCAGTGACTTCTCCCATCATTTTGATTCCAATGTGCTTCAAGATACTGTATAACCATCAATGCCCAGGATGTACAGGACGCATTGCGAACGCTACCCGAACCACCAGATGGATCGAGTCAAGCTTCTCAAGGAACTGAGGGAGGTTGTCATGCATGCGAGTGCAGGTAGTGATCGCCTATCATCAACCTTCAGTTGTTTTTTAACCCGGCATTCCAGAGATTATCACTTCGGACATGTCCTTGTCGCCTTTTGATGCTGATGAACTCTCCAGGATCCTGGAGCTAATCAACCACCTCCGAGGTGCGAAGGCTCCTTCAGAACCATTCGTATTAAAATCACACATTTCCAGAGAACGCTGATGACAATGATTTTCCTCATTCCACTTGCATCATTGGTGAGAAAAGCCTATACGCGTGGTACAACCTCCCTTGATTGTTCATTATTTTATCAATAGCCAAGTTCATGCATTATTTCTGTACGTTCTTCATTTCACCGTCGGGTTCAGGTTACTCATTCATTCTGAAGATAGAGCCAAGTTTTTCAACTTCTGCGGCCTACCTTGTGCTCGACTTGATGCTGACAGATCCGTGTATGAGGAGGATACTGGCTTTCATCCACTGATCAGCCCTCTTTCTCTGGTCCTGGAAGTCATGCTTTTTTGGGCACCGCAAGCGCACTTGAAAGATATTCGAAGGGTATGGGTGGATGAGTGCATCAACACGCCGCGATGGAAGGACTTCAACAGGAATCTCGTGACGGAGTGGACTGGGATCACCATCTACGTGCGTGTCATCATCAAGTCACCATTATACTCCATAACTTGATTCCTCCCAGTCAACCGTCATGTTAGCCGTAGATGTCAGCTTCCTCGCAGTGCCAAACGTGAACATCGGTCCGTCACACTCGGTCGGGATCATTGCTACCTATCTCTCGATTATCTTCATCACCGGTTCCTTGATCGCCTCAGTCCTGCTGGCACGTCAGAACCAGAGATACGGTTTTGAATCAGCCGACAAAGCGGCAAGTCGTCGCCCTTGCGTCCACTTCTGTCGCGCTAACTAGTCTGCGTAGGCCGAATTTCTATTAAATTTGACAGGCACATTTTTTGGAGTGAGAGCCCTCGCTACCGTTCACAGTCTACCATATGCAATGCTTATGTGGGGGTACGCGGATCGATTCTATCTAACCAGGGCAATTGATTCATGTCCTTCACCAGGATGATCTACTTCGCAATCGGCCTTCTGTACAACGTGTTCAAGTCTACGACGACGGCCATGCTGGCATCAATTGTCGGCGGGTGCGTGGTTGTTATCATGTTCATATCGTGGTTCATCTGGGCAGCGAGAGAGGTTCGTATTTTCCAACGACTGGCTGAGTTTGTTCTTTCGTTCACTAGCGAGAGATAGTGTCCAACCTTGGCACTTTGGAAATTTTTATCATGTTGACCATGCAGTAGCATTGTTATCAGCCGAGTCTTCAGTAAAAGCACATGTAATGCGTGAACTAGCATTAACATTGTTGATGTTTCACAAATCTGACGTCTGCAGGGCGGACTGTAAATTCGGCAAGTGTGACACTCCGTGACTACGTGTGACATCTGTGTGACTCACGAACTAGCGGGCAGGGATAGTATGTCTCTCGACAATGATGCATCCAGCGCGAACACCCTTACCCTATTAGATGACGATGCGTTCAAAACCGATCTTCTCATACTGATGAGCGACACTGAACCGAAGACGAACAACCAGTTGAAACGTCGTACAAAGGCCGTTCTTCGGGAAACGAAACCTACGTTAACCTCAGTGCATGGGGTCAAGACATTTGGTATATTGGACGGAATGATAGGGACGGCGCAGAGGAAGCCGGTTTGTCAAGTGGTGTACGCTACACAGCACCTGCCATCATAGTGACCGATTAAAAGGGAAAAGAGTCCAACCTGAACCCCCCTGCCTCTGAGTTAACGAGATTGGCGTAAGGCTGGTTATTGTTCTTTATCTGGCCTTGTATGTTATCCTTTTTGTTCGAAGCTGCTGCTCATGGTAGGACAGTCAAAAAAGCCTACAGAGCCGGCCACTCTCCACTCCTATACTCCACGCTTCGGAAGTCATTGCTGACACCGTGCCTGCGACATCGCGACGTTCCATATTCCAAGATTTGGTGTGCTGCAGTGTCTCGCCCTCTTTGCAGGATGTTCATCTAAAGGCCATCTAGATCGTCGAACGGGATGGCGACAAGTGTGTGGTCACCGGGACTTTGAATATAGCTAACGGTCCATATCCCCGCGACACTGAGGCTGGTGAAGGGTACCTCGAAGCTGTTCACATCCTCCGGAGATCGATTGTTCAGAAGCCACGTATGTTCTTCAATTATCAAGTTAATATGCCCGTCCAGCCAATTGTCCTGCAGTACATCGCGGAAACGATTGACATAATCAAGCATTATACAAAGCTCCCTGATGAGATTGTGGACGACCTAGCCGGTATCATCGATAACCCAGAGAATGGAAGGTCACTTGATATAGCACTGCATCGTGGATTCGACAGCTACACATGGTGTCTACAGACTCTACAACCCACAGTATGGTTAGGTTTTTGTCGTAAAATTTCAGGTACTTATACCCTTGAAAGGACGTCTTGCACAAATACAAAGTGCAACGGCTACGCCATGTCCCTTTGCACAAGGAGAATTTCACGGAAGTGCAATTCCGGGATCACTCTCGAGATGGTATTCCGTTTCCCAACCCTACGCTCATTGCGCTCCATTCTGCGGTTGCTCATGTCCTATACATCAGTGGCGCTGCAGAAGTCATAGACAAGGTTTATGATGTGTTCTCTTATGAAGGTCCTACAGTACCATCTGGAAATCGTGCTAGCGAGTATGATTTCCGTATCAGACTCTCATTGATTGGCTATTTTTAAAAACAAACACCGATTACCAACGATTCCTCATGAGATGTGTTAGAAGCTAAGACACAAAACATGCTCAGTGGTTGGAGACAATAACTGATCATTATGAGTACCTGAGACACGAAACACGCCAGAAAGAATATAGTGATAAACAACGGGACGATAAGAGGCCAGAAAGCATACCTCAGTGGTTGGATACAACGACTGAGGTAACGAGACGGTGCGTATTACATGCGATAAAGAATGTACTATGCGATGACGATTCAACAAGATGCACGCATTTCAATCAAACGTGTCAACTAGACCGATATGCCACTGCCATTAGTCTTTTTGCTAAGGAGCATTTGGTGTTTTCACGATGTTGATTAGGGATTAGTACACGCCAGTCTGGTCATGATCCTAATGTCCATTATCCTGTGTAGTGTGTTTTGGGATGTTGTATATCTAATTTCTTCACCAGATGGACATGAACAATTTTCATTGACTGACTGCGGTTTGCGTCTCAGTACTCCGAGTCAACGACAAAAGTCTTCTCCCACTAATCGTGGGAGTCGGACCTGTGCCGCCGTCAGAAACCGTTGTGGTACAACTTTCTAAGTTGACCAAGGCATCGTGTGAGTGTGTGGCACTAGGTCAGCTCGTACATTCAGCTGCAGGGCCCTGAGTAAAATTTAGTAAGACCAAAAGAGGAAGATAGCGGCTGAAGCTTTGAATCATGCACAGGAAAAATCAACCTTAATTATAGGTATCCTTCTCATCGGGTCACCTTATTCACTCCGAATCACTCGACGTGTCCGACGCCTTTCGCCTATTTTCCATCGTCTCGGTCTGGATGTTTTGATCGAAACCTGTTCAATTTAAAGCCTTCTACAATATTCACGGAAATTCGAAAGGAGAACACTGGATGTACGGACGTCTGTTATGGAAACCTCGAGGATGCAGCTTTAAGTTTAAACGCGCATCGCACTGCCCGGGCCTCTTCCTCATGTTCTTGCTGCGGCTTCTGCCTCGCGGTAACTTTTATCAACATCCTGTGGGGCCTGCCCTGGATAGGTGATTATGACCCGACCGAGCCTTTGAAGATCACCTATCGATCATATCTTGGCACTAGTTAACGGTATATAAGGAAGTCTATACTGCCCATGGTCCCCAAGGATTTCCCCTCCTTCTAGCAACATCGTTGCGACGAAGTACGAGTCACGGAAGTTCATCGACCTCATTCAGGGCGTTACGTCCAAGTGGGTCAACTGGGATCCACCAACACCGATCAATGTATGTAAAGACACCACTTGGTTTCAATTGACCTGACAAGCACAGGTGGGAGACTATGGAATCATCAACAACGAGACTGGAGAATTCGACTGGGAAGGGAGCCTTTACACAACAACGAGCAGGATCGGTATTGACATGAAGGATCCGGCACTATGCCCCACAGAACAGGGAGGGGATGACAAATACATCGTCAAGTCGTGGGGTGTCACTACAAAGGAACTCAACGTATCTGCTGAAGCGTAGGTGTTACAATATGCAGTGTTTGGGAATATATCTGACTGCGTCGCAGCGACGTGCCGGGTGGAGGGAATGTTGCCCTCAAAGTCAATTTTCAGTTCGATGGTAGAAAACCAGCAGCTGCGCTGGTTATGTACAAGCCAAGATACATCAGCCTTCCCAAGGATGAGCGCATCGTCGGGCTGCTCAAGTCTAGGCCTGATGTCCTCAAAGGGAAGTGCGTCGTCACTGAAGTGATCTCTTGCGCAGCATATATGATGTACATGTCTAAACAGAGTAAGTAAGTCCGGCATGTGTAAATTCTTCTACGCTGTTCACACTTGGCACAGCGGCGGAAAATTTTTCCGTGACACTTAAAGCCACAGGACCTGTTACACCGGCTGTCAATGCTGGAGGAGCGGCCAGTTTCACCTGGTCTTCAGAAACTTTTTGTGGTCTTTACCGCGAAGGAAGCGACTCGACCACAAAATATATGCCTTTGTACAGACTAAAAAAGCCTCGTCACAGGTTTTGGTTGCTTCCCAGTCAACGCGGAGATGAGCAAACTGATGATGTAATCGATAGGTGAGTTGAAATCCTCTCGTGGTTCAGCAGTGTGATGACCTCCTTGTAGGTGGGAGGATGTCGACCCACCTTGGGACCCCCTCGACGATGAGGGCGAAGAGGACGAGATCTATGATGCAGTACGTTCTCGGTTTTTTTCATTGGACTTGACTTGATCTATCTCTCTCGAACAGGAGATGCATGGTGACTTTGGCGTTTTCAATGATGGCTATCCTGAGTGAGTGTTGCTCTTGTACGAACTTTGGATATGTCTCAAGTACTTCTCACTCATAGTAACGATGATGACTTATGATCATTCACAAATGGTATTATCGCTACCCCGAAGGCCAATTCGTGCCACTTTGTATATAGACGAGCGTCATTGATGGAAGAGTATCAAGTTAACACGTACGTGTTGCATGAACAATGTATTTTCTCTGCCCAAATTTGAACGTTAGACAACCCCACCAATATCGGCCTTGTACGTGAGTATGCTGTTGCTGCACAGCATGATATCGTAACCCTAGGGACTCGAAGCCTGAATTCAACGTTTCAACAGAGTATGTGGTGCCCTGTTCCAAGCTGTATCTTCATAACAGCATCCATACATCCAGTGTTCTCCTTTCGAATTTTCGTGAATGTCGCAGAAGACTTCAAATCGAACAGGTTCTCGATCAAAACATCCAGACAGAGGCGATGAAAACTAGGCAAAAGGCGTCAGACGCGTCCAGTGAATGAGCACTGCGTTGAGTACATAATTAAATAATTATTTTGTGCCAATCTCTGCACAAAATTCTCTGTTCGGCGATTAGGGAAGTAGTAACTTTTAGGGTCCGGATGTGCTGAAGCTACCGGATCTGGGATCTGAAACTTCCTATCCCCACTAGTACGTAGCCCTCCCCCAACCGTGAACTACCCTCCAGTGGGTCACAATTACCGTATGCAGCTGGCTGATCACAACGCAGTTGCACTCGTGCCTAGGAATTTTTATTCCCACTGGGCTCAGTAGTATTTACTATCATTCCTCCCGTGACAGAGCAAGACAGTGACCTGGCGCGGTTGGGGTAGCGGTATCCCCTTGACGTCGACGAAAAATTTGGCATGTTTGAACCACTACCATCCCCACCACCTAGCGCCCTTCTTCCCCTAGTTAACAGACCCTTATCCTAGAAGATGTGTGGCTTCAGCGGGTGCTAAGGACGGACATGGTCTACTTTGCAACGCATGCTTCTGGCTTGGGTTTCGCTTCCAAACAGTTCGCCATGGCGGGGTCGACCGTGTGATGAGTTCTGGGTTACTCTGTGACTTTCCGGTCAAATTTCGGTCAAATTTCGGTCTCCATTTCCTTATCTTTGTCCAGCAGGTTCAGTACTCGTGTTCAGTCACGCATTCAACTTCCTGTCCGCGCTCTGGAGTTTCCCAAGACCTGCATTAACTACTACCTCTCTGTTGGTACGACCATCCTACCCCAGGCGCCGGGAAGCTGCGCGAATTGCGCCGTTCTGCAAGCCTCGTAGGTTACCAGATCCTCCTTCGTGGCCTCACCGATGCCACTGTCTCGGATGACCCTTCGTTTGACACATTTCACCTGGCATCCTGCGTAATACAGCGTATGTACACTCCGAACAGTCACGACGGGCTGCCGGCTACCCAATGGGAGGAAAGGCCACGGACAATACTTGGTTGTTCGCGAAAGTCGTAGGGTCGGGCATCTCATGTATGATGCCAGATACTACTGCCCAGATTATCATGATTGGAACAATCTAGGCGTCCAAACCCGTGACAACACACCGTCGAATCGGATCTGCTTGTTTACATTTTTGGCTGCATCAGACGCGCTGCGAGGATATTAGCCTCCAGTCCCGCTTCTCCTCATGACACTTCTGAACAAACATGATTTTTAGGAGACAGGCGACTTCGTCCCCCCTGATGTCAGTTCCGACATAGACCAAACCTAATGATCTAGTGGTATTCAGAGTGGATGATTAGAAATTTATCGAATCGCGCACTCGGACTACCACCATTGATCAAAAATTCTGCACCAGCATGATTGATACAAAGTCCAGCACATGGTACCAGCCAATTTCCGGTGTAGAAAAGATAAATACGCATGTTTACAATAGTTCCATGAAGTTCAAGAGCTCAACTGCACCACCTCAACCCCGTACACGTTCATGAGGCTCCTGCCATGGCACCCCTATGGCTTCGTTTGTCATCAGTACGATATCCGCATGAGTTGACTCTTACCTAGAATTCTGAATATTTCCTCTTCCGTCTCAGACGCAACGATGTTACCTTGAAAGACAATGAAAATGAGGCAAACTTGGCTGCAGCTGAAGGGCGCACCTGCGGAAATCTTGACACGTCTGTTCCGGGGGTCTCGAACCACGCCTGCATATAGACCTCGTTGGTTGAGAGAATACCCGAGAACATTTGCCTTCATTCTCATCGCCCGATTGAACTGTAATGGTACATATGTCTACTTCATTTATCGCACAGCAATTGTTCAAATTGCTTACGATGTCGTCACCCTGTAATTAAATGAACACGTCATAATATTGAGCCAGACAGACGAGTTACTTACCGTGTAGTAAAGAAGGGCCGCTCCTCTGTTCTCCCAAGAAACACATAAGATATCGATGCGCCGATGCTTTGCGTCCGGTTCGGGACGCTTGCACAATCCACGATAACATAATTCAAGAGCGGAAAAATCATCAGGCAATGCCAAATCCTCTGTCAGGATCTTTGCAGCATGCAGACGGGCGAGCAGCTCCGGAAGGAGACCTAGGGAAATGTTCCTGGTAAAACGACATCAGGTTATGAGAAGGCAAAGGCGTTCACCTGCATGTGTTATCCCATCTGAGGTTGGTCGAGTCACTAGGATATCAATGTCGCCACAAGTAGCTTTGCCCCTATTGAGGAACGTGAGGCTAAGGCAGGCAAAACAAAATTACCGCAAACCTTCTGAAGCTACCCATGATGTCAATATAAAGGTGCTCGTCGAGTTTGAGAGCTGTTTGCGTCACATCAAGATCAATAGCTCGTGAAAACCCGCAACGTAAGACTTTACCAATGGGTTTAATCAAGTTGAAGATACTCTCTGCTTCACTGCGCGGCATTCTATCATTGATATCTGGCAACAAAAAATCAGCGATGTGCCGATACGAGTGATCACGAAGGGCCAACCATCGTAGAAATGTAAACCGATTTCCTGAACGTGAGATAACTTGATGCCACCCTTCCGAGCTCGAATATCATCTAGCGTCCGGCATCCGTTATTGTACCACATGTGAGCTATCTGTCGGCCTGTGCTAACGGCTCAGAAGGTTGACAAACGAAGAGTGGACATTTTCCATACCGACTCCATATATCCCTTGAAATAAGTTAATGGCTTCGACATCATCCGTTTTTTCGTAGCCAATGCGTCTCAAATCGCCAGTTTCGATGATTTCCATGATCTAACAAAACAAGTGTTATGAGAGTATGACATTACTGTGCTTCAGTGGATACACACCTTTCGGGCAGTCTTCTCACCAACGCCGTTGATTGACAGGGCCTCGTTGAATGATTTGATTTTCTTTGGATAATTGCGCAAGGCACGAATACCTACCAGGGTCGTCAGCACTGATAATTCCGAGGCACAGATATTGCGTACATTTCGAGTAGCTGTGCACTCGCCAACGATCATCTTCACCTAGTTTTGCCTTGTGCAACTCCATAAGCTCCTCTAACTGTTCGTGTGCTCTATCAGCTGCAGAAAACGCGGAATGTAGATGCAAACCTTTTCAATGATATCTTGATTCACGCATTCGCGCTGCTCAGGTTCCTTCCGGTCGCATGTAAAACCCTTCAGGGACGCAATATTCAGGATTAGTTCAGGGACTTCAAATGTAGCCACTCACGCGCCGAGGAACCCGTGGTAGTTTCGAAAACTCTTCTTCTTGATCACTCTCGTCTGTCTCGGTCTGTCCAAGACTTCTCTGAAGATGATTGAGTTGAGAATTTTTTGTTTCACGTTACGGCTCACGGCTCGATCTCGTTCAGCCCTCGCCTTCTCGTAAAACTCAGCCAGAGGGTCTTCTTTATTGGACTGTGGCTTGTGAATGTGACTGCTTTGGTTATTATTATGATAGGCTGTGTTGGAAGCTTTCCCCGCGGGAATGAATGTAAGGGGTGCAGGAGGAAAAACGACTAGCTTTGGCGCTATGCTCTGTTGATTTTCAGTTTGATGGTCTTCGGTGAAAGAGCTAAGAAACGCGACCGCATAAAAATATAGTCGAAGAGAAACCGAGAATGGGCGTACGAAATGCGACTGAAATCTCCACCAAGGTCGTTCGCAGAGGCGCTTACTTGACCCTTTGCTTGAACCAGTTTTCCCTGTCCTCTCTTCTGCCAGCTTCTACCGGCATCGATGCGTTGAGGGAATGCCGCGTGTAGAAATTCAAAATCAAGAAGACCTTCGTCGTCATCTGTGGCATTAGCTTTGCTTTTCGTATCATTTACTTCCCCATCGCGTTTGCCCTTAAGCTTGTTGTAACCCAAACGACCGTACCCGGATATCACCCAACTCCAAGTGACCGTTGGGATATTGTCAGGGATCTCTTTCAACGATTTGAGTCCAAGGGCTTTCAGTGTCGGGCGTGTCGTCGCATCCGTCACGATGTGAGTCACGGTAGAAGGATCGTATGATGGTATCAAGGTGCCACCATGCTTAATGATCTGAAAACCTCGTGTTAGAAACGTATCGTTCAACGGCATTGACTAAATGATGACGATGAGCACGTAGATGATACGTAATGCACGTCAGCGTTGAAGGCGGAATTTCTTCGCCACAAAATGAAGGCGCATAAACAGCGGACCGGGAAACACGGAGGGTCAGGGAGAGCAAAGTATGAGAAACTCACGTAGTCCATGCGACCACGCGTCTGGACGCCTGCATACTGCATGTCCCCACCGACATACAAAATTCGCCTGCCTTTGAGGTAATCGGACTTGCGCTTCTTTGGCAAGGCGAGATTCAACTTCTGCGCATATTCGAGAGGAGTGACAAGCGCTGGCTTTACTTTGCCTTTCTGGTTTTTATTTTGCTTGAAACATCAGCTTTCTTCCTTGAGCTGCTTACAGTCTTCTGGACTTTTGAGGGTTTAACGACTGCCGCTCTAGATGAGGATGCGTTGCCCTCTGGATCTGATGATAATGAAGCTGAGGTACTCGAGCGGCGTGATGCTCCAAGGGGGGGAATTTCTGGGGCTTGTGATGTTGCTAGTGTTCGTGGCTGAGGGTTCTAGCAACCCTGACTGTGGACTGGGCATGCCAAGTTCTGGCGCGCAAGACTGCAACCTCTCGTTCCCAACGGAGGCTTCTCCATTATGATCTAAACATGGCATGCGAGCGTTCCAAACCTGGACTGCTGTCATCTGTGGGCTGTTGATTGATGGCATCATACGCCACCAACTTAGCAATTCTTGATTTGTGGGTCCGTGCAGTGGAGTCATGGCGCATCAGTCTCGCTGGCGACAAATTTTGGCAGCAGCCCCATTGCCTTGGTGTATCCGTAGGCCTCCGTGATACGAGATCCAGATCCAAGTACTGGTAACTTGGCTGCCCCATATTCATGAGCGCTTGATTCATCATTGGACTCAGGATTCGGGAAGAGGTCATAACAGATGAGGTGTCGACCGGCCCCAGTTAATATGCCGGCCAAGATGAGTTGATGTAGTTTTTGACGGGGGCATCCCCATTTCGGTGGGCCGGGAGCCGCGGAATTTGTCTGGAGCCTTTGCTTCGTAACTCAATTGAAAGCTATAGAGGCTGTGTGCAAATGGTGTCAGTTAAGGGAGGGATCTGATCAATCCGAATTGAGATAAGGGTCAACACAACGTACTTTGCGGCATGTTCAGTATTGTCACCACGTGAGAAAAAAAGTAGGTAGAAACAGGTACTCCTGACGTGGTCACGTCAGGAATCTCGTATGGCCTTGGCTTCTTCCCTGGACTGGAGGTTCGGGTTCTGCGTATTTGCGCTTCAACCTGTGGAATAGATGATCTAAGATCTGCAAGAGCTACGTGAGAAAGCAAGTGAGACGCCTGCCTGGCAATTCTTTGTCAGAGATCTGCCGCTCTTCCCTTTCCATGTCAGAAGTGAAAAATAGTTCAGGGTGTGTATCCACTTTGCGTGAGTGACCTTGTGCGGGAATAACGTGATCGATAACATGACTTCTGTGATTATCCTACTCAGGGGACTGGCAGAAGGCAACCAGTTGGATGGCGCGCGTACCTGTTCCTATGGCAATCTTCCAATCGTGCACGAATGTATTCATCCACATCCTCGTCAGGAAGGTTCATGCGCTGTCTTGTTCGGCGAAAAATGCATCGATGTCGTCCATAGTGAATTCAGACGATGATGGTATGGTGGATGGCTAGCGCTTAGCAGACGGAAAGGACATGAAATACACTCCCTGTGTGGACAGGCGTGGACGTTTATACGCGTCTTTTATAGGAGTCACACCACATGTACGTGCACGTGACTGATGTCTCGCGTCGCGGGGATGCTTCTGCGGAAGTAAATCAAAAATTATCAGCTTTCTCCCGCAACAAAACAACAATATTCACATGACATCCATCAGACGGGCTTGGCCAGTTCCCAGTGTTGGCAAATTAGGGGGAGTCTTCAAGAAATATTGCGCGCCAAGAGAGCGACAGATAACGCGAACCACTTGCTGGCAAGTGTGCTGTATGCTGCAATGCGGCAACTCGGGGAGGTGGCAAATCCCACGAACTGAATCATCCCGGTGGGGGATGCTCACGGTCAGCAGCTTTTAGCTTGCCAGACAAATATTATCGTGACTCACCAAAAGATGCTTTATTATAATGACTGTAGCCATGTCATCATTATATCCCCAAGCCGGCATGAGCGCCGAGGAAGCTGAATCTGAGTGAATTTGCTTCCCATGTGGCGCTAAAGTAGCCCTGGGCGTCGACTCAGACGACGGCAAATTTACCAAAAAAAAATAAGCGAAAAAGTAGGCGCCGTTCACTAATGAGGCAACTTTTTTTACAGTGAGAAGCGCATCATTGACTTGCCCAATGATAGATATTCAGTAATGAAGGCCTAGTCCAACACGGGCCTAAGGCGCTTTTGTTGTGACTGTATCGATTGCAATTGAAGATTACGCCGAAGATGGTATGTCATTTTGTTGTTGTAATGGTCAGCTAAGGCGGTTCAGCCTATCACGTAACGGTTATCGTTCTTTTCATCCCTCGAAAATTAGCATCTTTCCTCAGCTGATACTTATGCATCACCTATGCCGCTCTTCGGTCTTTTGCTTTCCTCTCTCGAGCGAGTGTGCCTGCGTGGCCTTTCTACTCCCCATCAACTGGCTAATCTTCTTTTCCCTTCCTGGCAGCCGCTGACTTCAACCTGAGTTCAACCCACACCGACCAACTCGCAAATACAGCTTTTGACACTCCCCATTTACCAACGCTGACACGTTGTTATTGTGGATCATTCCCATCTCAACCTG